TTTACCTTGTGGTAGTAGTTAATTTAGTATCCATAAATTATGTAATGCTTTTAATTTAATTAATTTGTAATGCGCTACGTTATAAATAAACCTTATCTCAAAGTAACTTAAAATCGCTCGATAAAAAATTTAGGATCTATTTAATTTTATTGTATTTGAATTCTTTAACTCGAATATGATTTAAAATTCTATACAATCTATGTTTATTCAGAATCAATCTAAGTGGATTCTAAATATACAATAATTCCATCCTAACGTACGATATACATACTATAATTATAAAACTATGCAAGTTGAATTACATACCTGCTGTGATATTGCTTCCTCATATATGCCAAAAACTTCAACCTTATAAAGTGATTTAAAATATGTTACTCCTTCTTGCTGTGAAGAATATGGAATTTGTACATTTTCGGCGAAATCCCATGAAATGTGGTTTTCGATATCGATTGAATTTGAAATCTCAGGTTGTGAAAAATTAGTTAAAGAATTTAAAGCTAATTTGGATTTTGCGATACAATCTCTAAAACATAAATATTACCGTATTTTTCGGACGTGGGTACCCCCCCTTGCGGTGTACCCTCTACGGGTTTGGAAGGACCCGATCATGATTTATACCCGGGTATTACATATGTTTCCTAATAATACACATATACGAAGTAATAACAACCCGATTTTTGAATCATGATTGTAATATTTGACGACAGACGTGAAACGGGATTTTTAATTTAACGATGCCTTAATTTAGTAAGCACAAATTTAATTTTTTATTGCTACAGAATTCTTTAATAATTCAATACCCGATCATTACATTATTATTACGGTACACGTTTTTTATATCAAACATTAGTAAAACATGCTAGTGCATTTTGTAAAAAATGTTACAAGCGAATAAGCTTTATTATAAAAAAAAAAAATACAGAATTTGATATTATTCCCAATCATTATCATCCCCGGTTTTTTCTTCATACTCTTCACCATCTACATTGTCATGATCTGCTGCCTCTTCAATATTTTCATCATTTGTATTTGCTAAATCCTCACCCAAAATTCCGTAGTCAAACACTATATCGTCTTCAGATCCATCCATATTTACCGAAATGCCGCAACATTTAAATGCATTTCTAATTAAACGAGGGCTAATTTCATTCCATGCTTCTCCCACCCATTGAGCTAAAGTAGAATATGACGGTTTTCGAATACATCCAGCGGGCGTAAATTGATGAGGATTATTGATCATCCATTGGTTGTAACGATCACGCACCTATAATTTAAAATTCTATTAATATGACCTATTATTAAAAAAAAGAATACAGTAAATTTACTTACTTTCGCTTTAAAGCTTTTATTTACTGCAACATCAAGAGGTTGCAGTTTACTAGTTAATCCACCTGGGATAACTGCAAGATGAGTATTTTTTTTTTGAAAATGGTGCTTAACAGGATTTATCGTATGACCTTTAAAAGAATCCAAAATAAGAAGAGATCGGGAATCTGAATCACTACGCTCAGTCCACATATTATCGATCCAATAATGCATCTCTTCTTCATTACACCACCCTTTTTCGTTAACACGAATAATGACATCTTCCGGGAACCTTTCACGGGGATGTTTTTTAACTTAAAAATACACATCGCAGAAAGCTTTCTTCCATCTGCAAGACATCCCAGAATTACAGTAAAGGACGCCCTTTCATGTCCAGTAGATCGGATGCTTATTGTCTTGGTTCCACGTTTTTCAAGAGTTACCGGGTAAGGCATATCAAATGACAATGGAGTTTCATCCATATTTCCAATGTATTGGATGTCATAGTTGTATTGACGGCGTTTGAATAAAACAAGGCTTAAAAATTCGCTTTGTTGTTCAATAAGATCTTTAGGGAGGTGCTGCGCAACTGATGTACGTCGGCGATTTGATAAATCATTGTGATACAAAAATCCACATAACCAACTTGTAGAAAATTTAAAATTATTAATATCAGGATATGCATCCTTTATTTCCTCATAATTAACCAACGTTTTAGCCCTTCTAACAACTATGTTTCGTGAAACAGCCATCTGCTTTTTACGAAGCGTTTCAATCCACTCAACTAGCCTTTCTTCTAAAAGTGGATACTTGGCTGGTCGACCACGGTTGAGTGTTAAAAGATAAGGTGCGGCATTTAAAAGTTCTTGCTTCTTGTTTCGCCAGTCACGAACTTGCTTGGGTTCGATATTAAAGCGTTTTGCAGTTGCTCTCACATTTTGAATACGTTCAAAGTAATGAACTACCATGAGTTTTTCACGAACACTCCAAGTACATCGAGCACTGCTTCTAACACGGCTTTTTTTGGTGATACTTCTACTTCGTGGAGACATTTTTTTTTTTTTTAACGCGTTAAGGAAGAACTTGTGTATTTTTATAGAGGGAGCATAGGGAGAACGTTGCACAAAATACATAACATTTAAAAATGAAATTTTTTTTTTTAAAAAAAAAAATGAACCCAAGAAAAAAAGAATGAGATAAATTTAAAAAAAAAAAAAAAGGAAAAAAAGTCCAAACCCAATACTGAGCCGTTAGAAATTTTACCCTATAGGGTAAAACCCTAGAGCCGTGTCCTGCTCAAGGTAATGGGAGCATGCTAGATATGAATTAGAGTTCAGGAATTTCATGTTCACGACAATAAATTTAAAGAAAAAAAATGTCCACAGCGATGAAGTTAGAGAAAAAAAAAAAAAAAAAAAAAAAAATCTAAACCCAGTTACCGAGCCGTTAGAGTAAAACCCTATAGGGTTTTACCCTAGAGCCGAGTCCTGCTCAAGGCAACTAGGCAATCTTCAGATGCAAAAGAATGGTTTACGAAACGACCAAGAATTGATGATGCATTTCATACCTTTTTTTTTTTTTTTTTAAAAAAAAAAAAAAGCCGATTTATATATGTGAGAATCTTAATGCAATTCAGCAATTTAAGGCTCAATCACATGAATAACATCACTGAAATCTGATTTAATTTAATCGCATGAATGGCGTCATAAAAACTTACTAGTTTTTTTTTTTTTTAGCAATTTCACATGAGTGCTGCCAAGAGAAAAAGACCGTACGGGCTTTCAATTATATTTTGTGTACAGTTAACCGTCTATGGAAAGTCTATCATAATAATAAATTTTTTATAGATAGCTAACTGCACGCAAAATATAATTGAAAGTCCGAACGGCCTTTTTCTCTTGGCAGCACTCATATGAATATCTTATAGCGATAGAAGTTCAATCAACTACCGAACTGGACTTATATACCCCTATCAATATGGTATACCCCCCATATAGACGTACCCCGGGTACGAATTTGAGATATGAAAATACCCGGGGTACCCACGTCCGAAAAATACGGTATTTAGTTTTTATATGTAATTAAATTAAATTTTAAATTGTTACCTATAGTTTTCACGTTCTAAATATGCCCAATTG